TAGTCCGAAAATCAAATAGGATGCGGGAGAAAATGGGTAAACAGCAACAGAGGCTAAGCCTAAAAGTTAAGTTGTCATACGAGGAAAAAAAAGATCAGTAGATGAAAGCAGTAGAAGTAGATTGACAAGGCTTCAAGTATTTTACTGTATTTATAAAGCAGTAGAAGTAGAAGTAGTTTCTATCCCATCTATCTTTTAGGCTATCCCTTCTGTACAGTTAACTCTATACATGTCTACAAATGAAGGAGATACATCCAGTAACTACATTCACCTTTCCGGAGCAGTTACAAAGATGTCATCAAATTCGGAAGGTTGCAAGGATCCATCCTGGCAAACTCAAAAAGAAGCAGAATACAGTGATTGTCCAAAATTTAGCATTATAAAAACTCTGAATATGACGAATGTATTTTTTTCTTCTTATTCCATACAGGTGATAAGAATTTGGAAGATTAACACGTACATTATCACTGTCATACAATCGGAAGATCCCACGCAAGAAGTCTATAGCTTCATTTGTCAGCTCCACATTCTGCAGGATATTTAGAGGTATAACACTATCCCCATAAAAGAAGTTATCATGGGCTAAAAAGCCTAAAATAATATAAAATTATAGGAAGTACAAATAATCAACAAACAAACGAATTTGTTATTGGGACATAAAGAAAAGAGAATGTAGGTCGGGTGGGAGAATCATTAATGATGCTGTAAAGTAGCTAAAACTTCAGAATTGATGATATATATGCAACATAAAGCTCCATGTTTCCTTCATATCAAGATCCATAAAGCATTGACAGAGCTGATTAATATTCCAGAGAAAATCACCAACCTAATTCTAGACTCGGACCAAACATAACAAGTCAGATGAAGAACAATCACTGTTCACAACCACAAGGAATCCAAACAACGATTACCATATATATGATTAATCAAGTGCTTAGGAATTTAACCAAAATATATACAAGAAAAAGTGAGCCAACAACATCCATGCCAATTTGAACAAATAACAGTTATGTCCTCTATCAAACCTAAGAGCTACCTGGTCAGGGGCATGCTTGGTTGGAACAGGAAGTATATCATCCCTAAGCTTTAACTCGTCATTATATCCAAACTTCCTCAAGACCGCCCAAGTTGTCTCAAGGCGCCCTTTTTCTATAAAAAGAGCATGAAGAAATAGGAAACCTTCAAGTGTAAGACCAAGGTCACTGACTCCTCCTCTTATCCTCTCTTGAACCACCCTCTTCACACCCACAATCTCAGCAGGTTGTAATGGAGCATTAAAGCATTTAACCTGTTTATATATTGTGCAACATGTCAAACAGTCCAAGTTTGTAGGAGAGAAGTAGTGGCTAAGAAAAAAAACAAACAAAAGGAAAAAAATACCTGAAACTCATTCAATTCTGCATCACTAAGGGCTCCGTCCATATCATGATCACAAAGCATAAATATCCGTTTCAATGCCCTGATACATCGTGGTTTCAAAGTTTGTTTCTCTTGATCAAATAGTGGAGCTGTTGGATGCAGAACTGCCTTTTGAGCATAATAGAATACATCAGGGACCTGGAGATAAAAAACGTAACACTTATACTTCGACCTTCGAATTTCTCTACCTACTAAACATGCAAAAATGGTAAATGGATTTAACAAACATAAAGGTAACGTTTACCAATTGCTCAAACTAAGTATACAACAGGAAGTATATTCCAGCAAAAGAAAACAACGACGGAAGCTTGAGTCTTGATGCTCACTATAGTCGACAGCCAACATTTAAAAGGTGAACTGCTAATCCTAATGCCATTGCCATAACATCATAAAGATAGATGGGATAGAAACTACAAAATGTGTGTGATGTTAACCTAAAAAACGTACAGAAGGAATATGAAACCTGAATTAGAGTAGCAGAGGAACATTCTATACAGGTTTCGATCTCCCTGAACTGTTGCATGATTGGTGCCATGACTTGTTCCAAGTTCATGGGCTGACGTTCATCTCGTAAATCAAGTTTGCACCCAACCACAATCACTGGTGCCTTGATCTATTCGGATATGACATATCAACATAATTAAAACATGTCATTGTATGAATAAATATGAATATATATAATTATATATATATATATATCATGTGCCAATCAATTATGCCAAATACAAACCTCTAATTTACGAAGCTCGGGCAGCCAGAAAGTACTCAAACGACTGAGTGTCATAGGTTGATCACAAGCATACGTTAAAACCACGGCATCAGCTCGTTTCAACTCATCAATAAGCTTTACTCTGCTCTCCATGCTAAAAGGTCAACAAAAAGGGCAAAATATCAGCAATTCAACATACATCCACAACTCATCAAACTTCTAAAACATTAAAGTTGCATTTTCTATTCCCCTTGTTAGTATGCACTATTTACTTAAACGAAATAGCATTTCTCACATTATTTTCTCATATACATATATATTTATATAAAATAAGATCAAGAATTTTGTATTTCTTACATTTTTTTGTTTACTATTGAAAAACAAAACCAGAATCCCTCAATCGACAATTTAATTTTTAGAACAGCTACTCCCAAGATCTGGAACAGCCGGATCAATGAAAACAAGTAACAAACAATAACGTGCATAGCTATTCGAGAAAAAAATCAAAACTAACAAATACCTGGAGGAGGTGTCTACAATTGTAACGGGGACGCCATCGGGATAGAAGTCAGATGGTAGGCGAGTTGGGGGAAGAACAGCCTGAACATAGTCGGGGAAAGAGTCGGAAGCTGCAGCTGAGATGAGGCTGGATTTACCAGTGCCCCGATCGCCGGCAACGACGACTCTAACGCCGGTTCGAGCCCCATGAGCTGATCTACTAGGCATCGAGACGCCGGTGGTAAAAAAAGGAATTGGTGTTTCTTTCCTTTTAGGGGGTGCGTAGAAGGTTTCAAATCAGACAGGCTAGAGAATAGTAGGACAGTAGTTAAAGGCTTGGGGGTTGCTATTCGATGGAGAGATTTGGCTATTCATGGCGAGGGAAGCAAGTGTAGGGCCGTTCTTTCGTTAATTCAAACACGCCTTCTTTGACGGTTAATTGTCTTCTGTTTGTTCGGTATGTTCCGGTCCAGTGGGCTTTTCTAAACCCAGAAACACTCGATTTGTTCAGGTCTATTTTTGGTTTTAGTCCCTCTGCTATGTTTGAAATTCCATATTTAATCCCTCTTATTTGATATTGCATTTATACATAATATCAAAAAATGTCCCTAACGTTTGATTAAATAGTCGCTTTTACTCATATTTTGTGAAATATGTTGGCCTATGACATTTTATTTGGGGTAAAAAAATATCTCTATAGATGAAAATCGTTAGTTAACAATCGATTTTTTTTATTATAGTTAACAACCGATTAAGGAGTCAAAATAGAGACATTTTTACCCTAAATTGAAATGTTGAGAGTCAAGATATTCTAGGAAAAAAAAGAATAAAAACCAAAAACTATTTGATCAAACGTGAGAGGTTTTTCCCCTTAAATAAAACGTTTGAGGTAAAGGTCAAAATAATCATTTCAATAAACGCTAGGAGCTAATTTTGGTATGTAAAGATGTAAAAAGATTGGTTATAATCAAATTAATCAAAATAGTTCATTTCATCAATAGACCATGAGTTTAGTTTAATTGCGAATCGATTAATATTTTTCTCAAAAAAATCAGTTATTGGTTAATTTGATTTGAAAGTAGTTAATTAATTAATCTTTTAACTGAAATTAATAATAATAAATATTAATATACATGTTTTTTTTGTTGCCCTCACGATTTTCAAACTTCGTCTTGATTAATCTAAAGTATTAGAATCGGAAGGACAATAAAAAAAACAAAATTCAATTAATTAATTAGTCAAGGTTTTGTTTCAGTTTAATACACACTATCACTGTACTGTAATGTTTGCAATTAATTTTTTCAAACTGTTTATAAACTCTCTTGAATAAAAAGGAAATATGATAGATTTTGATTAAATTCAAAATAAACCGATTTAATTCGAATTAATTCAATTTAATTTAATTTGATAATAATTAATTATTTTTAAATTTTCAATTTGTTAAGTTAATGAGAGTTCTATTTGATTAATATTTGAACTGATTATTTAAACACTCTTGTATAATAACAATAAATCTAAATGGACTAACATTATTAGTTTTTTTTTAAAGCGTAAAGTACATATGTGGTCTCTCATCTATAAGATATTGTTCTGTTATATTCGACTATTAAAAGTTATAAAATAGTCTATCAATTATAGGATGTTGCTTTGTTGAGTTCATCAACTATTAAAAGTTACTTAATGGTCATCCGACTATTAATTATGTTTCAAACTCATAATTTTTCGTTTAAAACTTGAAGATAGTCTGAGTTAGACGTTAACCTACTGACTGGGATATGATAAAATATGATCTCATAATCTCAAACGACTATCATATCTCAATCAATATGTTAACGCCTAATTCATTTTTAATAGAAAATAATGAGCTTAGTACATAATAAATAGTCGGGTAACTATTTTATTGCTTTTTAATACTACTTTACGCTTTTTAATAGGACAACACTACTCTATTAGTTGTTGTTATTAAAATGGAGACGTGAAAGTTTTAAAAATAATTTTAAATATTTAATACATATGTAAATTTGTTATTAATTGAATATAATTAATCGATTTTTCACATGATATTAAATTATACGAATGATCTTTTAATAAAATAAACTTTATATATTTGTTGTAATTACAACAAATATAAGTAACTTAATAATATAATTTTTAGTAGTTTTAAATAATTATAAGATAATATTTATTCAGAATTTTTAATAATTAATAACTTATAAATACGTTATAAATACAATTGTTAAAACATAAAATGTCTAGATATCCTTTTAACACATTTTAAAGAACAGACTTATGGCACATTAAAATAGAGATATTAAATATTCAATTTCAGAATGGTAGAGACTAGATAGACTAAAACCAGAATTAGACCTTTAGTTAATCCAGTAAACCCTAGGCGAAAAAAATCTTAAACCCTGATTCGCAGCTTGCCGACTGGATAAAAAAAAAATCCGACAATGTTGAGGCGCTACGTCTGCGCGTCACTCTTCGCGGCGCGTTTTTTCTCGACGGAAGCGGCAGTTGAGAAAGCCGTGGCAACTAATAAAGGCGCTGCGAAAACTGGTAGTAGAGGTGGGGTTGGACGAGAGACGCTGGGATGGAGGCTTATAGGCCTTGTGTATCCCAAACGCAGCGCCGTGATCACGATACGGAAATGGATAGAAGAAGGCCATACGGTTCGAAAGTACGAGCTCAATAGGATTGTCCGAGAGCTTCGGAAGCTCAAGCGCTATAAGCACGCCCTCGAGGTAATCATTCTTATCACCCCCCTCAATTGTCTACATCAATGAAGCTTGTAGCCTTAGGATGTTGCAATTAAGTCTTAATTTCAATCGGGAACTAGGATTGATTGTGAAATGCAACTCTTGTTCTGATTAATCAGAATATATTGTTTTTACCCCCAATCAATTCTACCTAGGGGAGGGAATTTTGGTCTTAATGGGTAATGAAACCACAATCAGAATAAATGTGTATTTTGAATTGAATCCCATTTATCGAATAATTGTTGCCTATTGGAACTGGGTATGTAGAAATTGCAATGAAATGTATGTATATGATAATTGGCCTTATCAATTACCATGATTATTTTATTTTAGATATGTGAATGGATGAGATTGCAACAAGATATCAAGCTATTGCCTGGTGACTATGCCATTCATTTAGACTTGATTGCAAAAGTTCGTGGATTAGCTAGTGCGGAAAAGTTCTTCGAAGACCTTCCCGAGAAGATGAGAGGTCAAGCTGCATGTTCGGCTCTTCTCCACACGTATGTCCAGAACAAGTTGTCTGCTAAAGCCAAGGCTTTGATGGAGAAAATGTCTGAATGTGGTCTCATTAAGAATCATCTTCCTTACAATCACATGCTCTCTCTATACATCTCAGAAGGACAATTTGATAAGGTTCCTGAAATAGTGAGTGAATTGAAGAAAAACGCTTCGCCGGATATTGTTACTTATAATTTGCTGTTATCTGTTTGTGCCACCCAAAATAAAATTGAATCTGCTGAAGAAATTTATGATGATCTTAAGAAAGCGAAGATAGAACCCGACTGGGTAACATATAGTGCATTGACCAACCTATACATAAAAGCAAAGCAATTTGATAAGGCAACATCAACTTTGAAGGAAATGGAAAAGAAGGCTTCTCGGAAAAATCGAGTTGTTTATCCCTCCCTTATCAGTTTGCATACAAACATGGGGGACAAAGATGGGGTTGATCGAATCTGGAAGAAGATGAAATCATGCTTCCGCAAAATGAACGATGCCGAGTATATGTGTATGATATCGTCACTTGTGAAACTTGGATATTTTGAAGAGGCTGAGAAACTATACAATGAGTGGGTGTCTGTTTCCGGAAGCGGTGATACTAGAATTCCAAACATACTGCTTGCAGCTTACATCAATGGAGACAATATGGAAATTGCTGAAAACTTCTATCAGCAAATCGTGCGGAGGGGTATTTCCCCTTGTTACACTACTTGGGAACTTCTTACTTGGGGCTATTTAAAGAAGCAACAAATGGAAAAAGTGTTAGATTGTTTTAAGCAAGCTGTTTGTAGTGTAAAAAAATGGAATCCAAATGACAGGTTGGTCGGAGAAGTTTTTAAGAAACTCGAGGAGCTAGGTGATACTGAAGGGGCAGAGAAATTGTTAGTTATTCTTCGGAATGTTGACCATATCAGTACTAAGGTATACAATTCACTTCTTCGAGCATATGCAAAAGCTGGTAAAATGCCACTCATTATTGCTGAAAGGATGCAGAAGGATAATGTACCACAAGACGAGGAAACACATAAGCTCATTAAATTAACTAACCAAATGCGTGTGGCTGAAGTTTCAAGCAGTTTTTGAGGTTGCATATGGCAGAGTAAGAATTACTTTGATGAAAACAGGTGCGTTGAACTAGAGGTAACTCTCATCCTGCATAATATGATTTCTCTACTCTGTAGTAAATAGATGAAACACTATGATGCCAAATTAGTTGCAGAAAGTGTTACTAATTATAGAACAATCCGTCGGAAATTCCATCTTCGATTAGTTTATTAGCTCCTGTGTATATTGCAAAGAAAATAAGGTTGGTACTACCTGAAATGTTAAAACCGTTGCATGTTTGCAGTTGTTGACCTTTAAAAGCTGAACTCAAAATCTCACATGAACTTGGCAACCCCAAAACACAAGAACTTCACATCATTTTGACGTGTGCCAAAGTTTTGTTGAAACCTCGAGTGAACCATTTATCTTTTGTTATTGACAGATTTAGTAAATTTGGCCTTTAAGACAAAAAGACATCTGCCAACAAGCAGATCTTTGGGTGCGTTAGGAATGGCAACGGGTCGGGTTCGGGACGGGTTTTGCTCGCCCCGTCCTCGAACCCGAAATAAATTCCCATCCCCGACCCCGACCCGATCCCCGACGGATTTTTTATCGGGGCGCCCCGTCGGGGATTTTTTTGCCCCGTCCCCGAACCCGACCCGAAATATTATACCCGAACCCGAAAATATTTATATATAATTAATATAAAAAATATAAAATATTATATATATAATTAATATAAAAAATAAAAAATATATATATATATATATATATATATATATATATAATCGGGGCAGGGCGGGGCGGGGATATCTTTCCCCAAACCCGAACCCGACCCGAAAAAATTCCCGAAAAAAATTCCTGAACCCGATATCATTCAACCCGACCCGACCGAACTTGACCGGGTTTCGGGTTTCTCCGTCGGGTTCGGATCATACTGCCATCCCTAGTGCGCGTATTTGGTTGATGAGTGAAACTAATCAATTTTTGTTGCAACATGCTTCATCTCAAATCTCTTTTGAAGTCATAAGAGATCAAAGTTGATTTTGTCAGTGAAAACGATTATAATTTCAAAACCAAAACCAAAATAATTTAATCGACCTTTAAAATCGAGTTACAATCAAAACTATTATTTCACACTTAAAATTATTTAAATCAAAGTTTTCCAAAAGCATGTTTCACACTTAAAATTATTTATCGATTTTGGACTTTAAACGATTTTTTTAATTTTTCCAAAAGTATATTTAAATAAATTTATTTATTTTCACAGTTAAATTTAAATCAAATACTTCATTAAAAATATTATTTCACTTTACCTTCCAATGTCAAATTGGCCTGAATTCAACCTATTGGTTCATGCTTTTTGGGCCCAAATTGGAGAATCTTCGTTTGTTTATCTTCAACCCATAGCGACTATCCGTTTAAATATTTTATATTTCTTTTTCCAAAAGGAAAATCCTCGGCCAAAAGAAATCAGGCACGGCATTCAAAATTGTTTCCAGTAAAAGACACAATCCTCAGTTCTATCTACTAAAGGCTATTTTTTTTTCCAAAAAAAAAAACCCCCATCGATTTCTGATTTGATTCTAAGATTGAAATGCAAAACCTAATGTAATACTGTAGAAACACAAAAACAGCAGCAATCAACTATTCTCTGACATTTATTCAAATATCTTCATTCTTAAGCCTAAGCTAGAAAACAGCAGGAAATGAAAAATAAATTATCCCCAGTTAACCATAACAAAAGTAAACTACTTTCATGGATTAGACTCAAATCTCTCATGTCTACTTCCTAACTTGCACCTGCAGCGTTCTTGGCGACGGCATCAGCATAAGAGACAGGTTTCCGATCAGAATCGTCGTTTCCCTCACCGACGTCGTTTTGAACACCGGAATCATCACTGCTCGCGGCAGTAACATCATCGGGATCGCAATCAGGGTCGGTCTTGTCCATGGCGGCGCGAGCCTTGTCCAATAAAGGCTTAAACACCATCTCTATAGCCATCCACCCAAAAGCCAGTGCCCCTACAACTACCGCCGCTTGCTTCACAGTCGACGACTTCCCCATTTTCTTTTTGCTCTGATTTTTCTTCTTTTTTCTAACTTTTTAGGGGTTAATTTTCCTTAATCGATAGATATATATATATATATAACACTTGCACAATTGGATGACGAAGGAAAGTGGACTGGGCTAAGCAACCTAAATCAAAGTATACAAATGGTCACTTATTAAAATAGAGATTACTTTGTTGAGTTCACTATCTATTAAAAATTTATAAAATGATCCTTAAATTATAAGACGTTGTTTTGTTAAATCTTTTGATCACTAAAAGTTATAAAATGATCATGTAACTATTTATATGTTTTAAACTCGTCCTTATTTATTTAAAAATTTACAATCATTTGAGTTAAACACAAATTTACTAATTGAGATATAATAAAACTATATTCTAATGATATCTAGTGGTGCCACAATTGTTTTCAAGTAATGGCTAGACGACATATTTCAAGCACCAACTCGATGACATAAAATGGATATTAGATCCACAAATTACAACTTAAACGGTTCTATAATAATATTTTATCATATCTTAGTCAACAGGTTGATATCCAACTTAGATGACCACCAATTTTTAATTAAAAATGACGAGTTTAAAACATATGAATAGTCAAATGAAAATTTTGTAATTTTTTAATAATTGGGGGACTTAACAAGATAACACTTCATAGTTGAGGAATTATTTTATAATTTTTAATAGTTGAGAATATCAATAAAATAATACATTGAATAGCCTATAATCAGGACCATTGGTGTACTTTACCCAATAAAATAGTATGATGAAACAACCTAAATAAATAAACGGTCTTTATAGGTTTCACTTGGATTGAGAAAATATTCAAATTTAGTTTAATTTAATTTAAGATGAAGCATAGAAATGATGAGTAAACATTGAAATGATTATTTTAATTATTAAAATTTTAATAATTAATTTATAATAATTTAATAAATTTTAAAAATAATTTTATAATTTTATAAATATTTGAAAATTATAAAAATTATAGAATAATTATTAAAATTTTAAAGATAAAAAGTATTTTAATATAATTTAATAATTATTTGTATATTTATTTTAAATTTTACCACATTCATATATGTGTAAAATAATATTTTAAATAACTTTATCAATAAATCATATTAAATACACAGATTTCAATGTGATTAGTTTTTAATTATCTCTTCATATAAAAATATAAAAAAGTATGAAAAAGATAAAATGTCATAATAATAATATTATTATTATTATGAAACCATTCAAACTACTAAGCTATTGAAGACAACTTCGTTAATATATAGAATTGTTACCGAGAAAAAACTTCATTAGAACAAAGATAAATTAACTAAACGACGATTACCGGAAAAGGAAAAAATAAAAAGAGCTTGAACTAATTATTTACATGATATTTAGACGATACTGCCTTCCTTCTTCACTTACTCTCTTGCTGCAACAACCGCCGGTCCTTCCACCTGTTCATCAATTACATGCTTTTCATAAATAGAAAAAAAAAAACATTAACAGATCGATTGAATCAAGTGTTTTTTAAAACCTTGAAGGTTGCACCCCAAATCTCTTCTTCTGGTACAGGAACAGCAACGATCTTGTTTCTGGGATTTTCATAGCTTAATAACCCGCCAGCTGCGGTCGAAAAGAAGCATCCTGCAGAAAAAAAATTGAAAGTCGGGTTGATTAACGAAAAATTCTACGTGGGTCCCTAACAATATATCGAACAATCAAAATTAGTTGCAGAATGATGATATTCATATACCCTGGGGGAAGGAAGCAATTGTCTTGCCGCAAGCAGTTTTAAGCATCTCTGCATCATCGGAAAATGCCACGAATTCATCAGCTGTAACCCCCCAGTAAAGAGGAACCTTGCCAGACTGATCCTGGTAAACAAATAGATTGCGAGTAAAAACTGCAAGCAAAAAAGGTAACGATTACCGAAATTCACTTACAGAAGCAACGAACAATGTGGACGTGGACTTGTCGAATACCACAAATGCAAAGTTTCCGGCAAGATGACCGACGACATGGCTAGGAGGGTAAGGAGCTCTGTCACGTAACGCCTTGTAAGCTTCGATCACCAGCATATCCTCATCGGCAGACTTGGCTAGTCCATGCTCTTGTCTCAGGCTACCTAAGTTATCAAGCATGCCTTGAAACAAGCAAAATATATCATCTTTCACCCCAAATGATCCGCACCCATCATTTAGATCACAATTTGAGGCTATAGAATGCGGACCTGAAAATTTTGAAACGTGGCAAACATGCAAATGTGATCGGACTTTGAATATTTCACTCTAACTCACGGTGGACCCTGGTCCCAAAATGAAAGACCTGTTCTAACTTCTACAATCAAACCCCATATTTTTCTTGCTTCAAAGAACAAAGAGACGTAAGTGTTGAGCGTGTTTACCTTGGTCGGAGAAGATATTCGTTTTCGCGAGAGTAAGCCAAGTCAACTTCATCACCGATTTGTATGGAAACCAAAGAAGGATTCGAGTTGACGAAACGTTTCATCAACGTCAAGGCGGTGGTTCACGGTGACGAACTCCGGTCTCCGGCAACAACCAGCTCCTCCGGTGGCGTTACAATTTCACAGCCAAAAACGCCTAACATGGTTATCTCGTCTCTCGTGTTTAGCCAATGAAAATTGGTATGAATGTCATGTACCACCATTTTATAAGAAAAATAGACAAGGTTAAAAATGGCATTTCATGACATATATTGTTGTCGATGCTTCCCATGGCTATGACGTATTGGGCAGCAAAATGAAGGCAAATAATTGGACAGCCACGAAGTCAACATTATAACATTATTGGAAGCTATGAACTGTGTTTCGACTAGTTATAACTTATGGATTTTGAGATGACTGCCGATAAACTTTAGAGGTAGTTAAATGTTAGGTGGATTATTATTATTCTTAGAAGTACATGTTAAAACACTAGAGACTATAAAGTTATTTAGGTTTTCAATGTCAAATGATTAAAAATCTTTAGAACATATATTACTTGTAATCACTTGTATTAATATATATACACATATATTCAATAGTCAAATAGTTTTATTTTATCAACTTACAAATAACTATTATCATTATATATCTATCATCAACATTTAAGGTCTATATACAAATTATCATGTATGATTAAAGAAGAGTACTTTCATTTCTCTTAGATCACATTAACTTCATTATCAATCAACAATCTACTTTAATTACAGGTCGTATTCATTGTTGTTGTTCCTTAAAGCAGGGAACCATTGGTGAATGCATTTCTCATTTTTGTAATTGTTAATTGCACGGTCCATTTGAAATTAACATCTTAATTCTTTAGGGTTCATTGTCATTACATAGAAGAGAAAGACATAAATAAATAATTAGAAAAGAAATGTAATTATGTAAGGGATAGGGGAGGGAAAGGGAAAGAGATAGCGACGTCCATTAGAATCATCAGCCGGCTCTAATTTGTACACTAATTCTTAAATTATATAAAAATTCACCTTTATTGATTAAAAAGGTAAGCTTAATGGATTCCACCATAGGATCCACGCAGATAATACTATAAAAAGGCAAATTTTTTTTTTTGTTTTTCTTCATACATCATTTAGCATTACTTTGATGTAATCTCCCACATAGACATACACATCATTGATACATAACAGGGTTGTCATATCAATTGGCAAATTAGGTATTAATTTGCCTAATTATGCTTGGACATGTCAACATGCATACATAAATTTGTTATTGAATGGTCGTGAAAATCATAAAAATAGGTTTTTTGATCCAAATATTATCGTACAACAGATGGAAATCATGTTCTTAACTAAACCCTAAATCACCAATCAACCTGTTCTGTTAACTGGAAGAAATTAGAAAATAAATTCAGGCACCCTCAGCTTCACAAGGCTATAGGGGCAATGAAACTACATTTACAGGTAATGACTAATGGAAATAAATTATACTCCATCGAGATACATGAAGTTAGAAATGCAGCATTGTGCATAAACTTCTTTATTTATAAACATGAATGGGATGGGGGCAATTGCTGACCCCTAGAACTACCAAGTGCCCTCCTTTGACATTACCAGGAAATTCGACAACGTGATATTTGGGAGCTCGACGACACCTGTTTTCTTCTTCTTCTTTATCCTTGTCACCTTCAGCGACTCCACATCCTTTGACTGTGTAACTGTTACCGAGACCAGGTTGTAGAACTGTTCAAGGAACGTCAAAGGAAGAAAATTCTCCATATCAGTTACAGACACAGCATGTTCGGAATATAAAAGCAGATTGAGAGGACTACCTCACAGACACCGTGCAGCAACAATCTATGGAAAGGATCTTGGACAGGTAATGCAAGGACATCTCCTTCTCCACTTTCCTTGATAAAGGTTCGTATGCAATCCTGAAAACGGAAAGAAATTTATTCCGCCTAACGATAAGTTTCATGCCTAAGCAGAAGACCGGAGAATATGTCATGTTGTCAACTTGTGTTGGTTTTATGTTATATTTCACTCGCATACGTTAGTTGTTAGAGTACTTTATTCATTGATGAAATAAAATTTTCTACTTGAAATCTGCTATCAAGCCCTTCAAGAGTGGTGCCTGGTAGGCTACTAAGCACACTAATGCCACTAGTTTGTTCAATCACTACTTATCCCTTTGATTATATCATACATACTAAGCAGTCCTACCCCCCTCACACTTGAGATGAGAAAACAAACAACTTAGTCAAGAACTTGTAAATAAAATAAAAGAAAAAGCTCGAGAGAAGACCAATAATGATAATCATTCTCAAAGAAACAAAAGCAAAATCATGTACCTCATAGCCTGCAATAAGATCTGAAAGGAAGCTACGGCGAAGTGCATCCCTTGTTCGACAATCAATTCTTTTCCATGCACTCAAGAAAGCCGCCTTATCAGCATCAGCATGAAATTTCTTCTTTGCAGATGAATTATTTAAGGTGCCAATAATTTTAGCCTAACATAGAGGAATATATGGTAACTTAAGCATGTTGCCCCAGTACATGCCAGTCCGACACAATAGATGCCATGCTAATACAACATAAAAACCTTATTCTTGTACACTTACCTCTTTATCCATGTCTATATTCCTAAATTTGTCCCATTCTCCCACGTTCGTCATGCAAAATGCCGATGGTGGCACATCATCACCTGTGAATGAAATACAAATAAATATCAGTATAATAGACTGAATTAATGGCCTAAGAAATAGTGTGGCAACTGATTGTCATTTCATTTGAGATAAATCAATCAAAAGTATAATGGGACACCAAGTGACCAAGACCATAAGTATGCTCTACAACAGCAATGTTCTCATCCCTTCACCTATTATCATGTTAAAGTTGTTGTTCTACCCATATTATGATACTTACCGACACATTCTTAATAGCTCAAGTGACATAGCTACTGTACTCGCAAATGTAGCCAAGGATGTACCAAGGGGGTGCTGAGGGCGATCACACCCCCGGAAATTTCAAATTCCTATATAATTTCAGTATTTCCTTTGTATTTTCTTTAGTTGATCTAATTTCGCACCCCTGAAATTTTATAATTTCGCATCCCTAAAGAAGGTTCGTACTCCTAATATAAAATCACCTGTCCATCCCTAAATGGAGCTCTTAAAAAGTGCAATGAAATGAGATATATCCCGCAGGAAATGTTCATTACCCCATGGCGGTGGAGCAAATAAGCCTCTTATTTCTTCAGCATTCAATCGAGGAACAAGTTCCATCAACAATCGATCATTTAACCATCTTCGAGAACGCCTGTTTGTAACCTGCGACAAATAAGCAAGCATTTCAGGGAGTGAATAGCTTAATATAGAAATATACCATACAAGTACAGAAAGGAAACCATTAGCACAACAGAATTCATACATTAGCTAGTTCAAAAATGATCTTAAAGAGATAATTTTTTCAAACATGTTTGAAATTTGCAAAGAAAAGTTAAATTAATTCCAAACTTATCACCAAACAAAGGAGATCTCAATCATTTCATCTTCTAATATTGAGACCAGAAAATGGATCTCATAATCAATAAGATCAGACAGGAAATTAATTTAAAAAATGGATCCATTCGCAAGTGATAAAGAACTTTACTTTTCCAGCCAAGCTCTCGAGAAGCTCAATCTTCTTCTCAATCGAGAGCCCACGAGATTTTCCATTTTCTCCTGCCGAAAAGTTGAAACAAGCATCACTTAAATTTCCCCCAAAAAGGAAAGGTTTGAACTTTTTTCCCAGAAATGACCGTATAAACAGCAAATTGAAATCTGGGGTTTCATTCCACCAACAACACGAATATATACGAAACACTCAACATAAAAAGAATTTACCCTTACGAAGCTCAATGAAGGGAGATGAGAGAAGGTCGGCTTCTCTTTGCAGAACATCAGGAGTCGCCATGACTGATAGTTTTCTTCGGTGATTGAATGGTTCTGGAGATGATCAAATCCGAACACCGATCTGATGGCAACGATAATGAAACAATGATGATCAGATTTAGATTAGCTTAACCCTAATACCAAAAAAACACGTTGAATCCTGAAATCAGCTGCTTCGGCTTTGTAGGAGATTTGACCGATTTGGGTGTTGAAGGCTTGGGACTGGATCAATGTCCAATGTATTCGTGGCTAGACACGTATCAGATTAGGATATGGCACGTGTGAGAAGTAGACGAAACCACCGAAGAAAGAAGAATATTCCGTGTATTTATTCTCTTTCCATAAATTGGATAATTAGTTCTTACTTGATATACAAGAATTTATTTGCTTGACCATATGGATTTAAATTTTGGTCAGTATATAATAATATTGTTTTTTTACTTGACGCACGAGTTTGTTATTTAAATAAATTATAATAGGATTATTATTTAAATAAATATATATTATATAAATGAATTCTCAAGTTGTAATATGTTCTCTTTAAATTTTGAAACTTTGAGATGTATAATTTAGAGCTTAGGATAAAAAATATGGAATATTAAATTTAGAATTTGTTGTCATTTAAATATGATATATGATATTCTTTGAATTTATTTATGAAATACTTTTTATAACTAGTGTAAGAGACAATAATTTTTTATAACACATTAAATTATTTTATATTATTATTATTTTATTGAATAATATAATAAAATTTTTTAAATATATTTATTTTAAACAATTAAAAAATATAATTTTAAAATAAAATATTTTAATTTTTATATTATAGGATTGAATCCATATATTCCGGGAGTCAATGCCTTGTGTGGTTTCTTATTGATGTCTCTATTTTTATGATTTTGTTTTGTGAGCTATAATTTCGTAGTCTCGATTAATAGAAGTCAAGTCTAATTTTAGAAAAATATTGTTATTTTGTTGTACTATTTATCAGTAGTAATATAGAAAAATATTTTAAATTTAGTTTAAAACTTCTTTACTCTTTTCTTCCTCCATTTTTACCCAAATATTTTTTTTTAAATATTTTTGTGTCATAGATATTTTCTCTCTTTGATTTTTATTTAGTCAATGGTGACATTAATTTTAATGTTGATTGTCGATTATCGATGATTATTATCTCTATTATTTTTTCATGCTATGTCTTTTGTTTTCTCTTTTTTTCTTTAGTTTTCTTTTTTAATTTTGAATAAGAATCTACTTGTGACACGTTTTTCTCTACTCTTGTGGCATGCGTTTTCTCTGTTATTGTACCACGTTCTTTATGACTTTTCGTTCGTTTTTCTCGTACATTTACAGTCATTTTGGTGTTTGCACAAATACTCACATGATTTTTATTTTTTGATTAATTTGTTGGTGGTCACATACAATCAGAACTCCTCTTCGATAAAAAAAATTATTTGTTGATATAATCAGAATTGTGTAGCGGAGCAGTCTGCTAACTAGTTTAGTTCGCTCACCACTCATTTATCACTTCGTAAAGCATCTCGTCCGACAGAGACAATGAGGTTTTATGAAGGTTATTGGATTCTTTTGAAGTTGAACATTATTATCAAGGAAATGTTTCATTTTTCTTTGTATCTTTGGGTTTAATATTTTTGTTTTTGTATGAGATTTTTTACTATTTTTCTTATTTTCCTCGCTATGATTAGGTATGTCGTAATTATGATTCCTTTCATTAATTTTATAAATGAAATTCAATTGCCATCATTCCAAAAAAAATATTTAAAATTTAAGTTTTATGTTGAAGGAAAAACATTCATCGCCAAATCATCAAAACCTTTTTTTAGTATAACAATTGATATCCAATTATAGGATACTCCCAACCCAATTTATTCAATACGTAAACGTCAGGATTCAAATATCTAAAATTGGAGATCGATAATATTTAAATGTGCAATATCATTTGATTTTTGTATGAGGAGGGATCTAAGTAGTAGAAAAATTAGAGCAAATTATCTTACACAATCAATTATATACACTTAGTCATTATTCTTAATATATTCTATCAATTTAATCTTAATTTAAAATAATTTAACTAATTTAATTTTCTGTAATTAACGATTCTATCAATATAGTCTACAAACACATTATTATTGTACGAATCAAACGATTTCAATGATTAAAATATTTTTATTACCCCTCAAGTGTTTTTCCTAAAATTATAGATTTTCTTTTAAAATTGAAATAATGTTTTCTTCTCTACAAAAGAAAACCCTAGCCCATGTCTTGCCTCTCATTCCCCTCCTCCGATAGCTTTTGTCGAAATTAGCAACAACAAAAAAGTCATGGTTTATTTTTCTTGATTATGGGTTTGTCTTTTAGGCCCAATCGGACACAATATAAACATGGGAAAGTTGTTTTAAGTAAGGTTGTAAATCAATTGAGTCAAATTTAAGTATTGTACATCTTGACTCATTTTAAAAAATATAATATTGAATTTGACTTGATTTAAAAATCGGTGAACTTAAAATTATCAAGTTCGACTCGAATTCCAAATAAAAAAGTAAAACTCGACTCGACTCGAAAGCTTACGAGCTTAAAATTTTCAAGTTCAACTCGAAATAAAAAATTAAAGCTCAACTCGAGCTCGAGAAAACTTGAACTTGAAATATTCTCATACTTAATTCGATTGAAGCTCAAATTCTAGTTTGAACCTAAACTTTAAGTACATGAACCCTTATATATATATATATAAAAGAATAATGTATAAATGTTAATATTATTAATAATTTAATTAAAAAATCTAAAATTTTAATATACTATTTTTTCGAGTTGCTTGCGAGCTTTTCAAGTTGAGTATGAAATAATGTGTTTCGACTCATTAAGAATTCGAGTTGAGTTTGAACTTGAGTCGAGTTCAATTGATTTGAAAGTTGATCGAACTTTAACCGATCTATCTTAAATAATTTATAATCTATCTTGTCTCATTTAAGTCGCTAATTTTAAGAAAATATGTTGATCAATTTGGCATGGCATTCGTGGAGTCCAAATACCGAAAATCTAAAGATAAAAAGGATCAAATTGATCTAAATTGCGACTTTTGGAGTCGGAATCATTAGGTTTCTTTTTTTCAAAAAAGAAAAAAAGGAAAAAGAATGAAGGCAATGATGATGATATCTAAATGCGCAATATAGACTCCTATGAAACAACAACAAAGATTTTGGTTGCCAAAGATAGCATCATAGATCCTTTGTATAGCCTTTACACATAAATTCCATGTCTTTTACTACACAATTGGATGATTGCAAGAAAAACTTACAAAACTACTTCCTATTGTCCACTCATTAATTACCTCAAAATGGTCGTCTTTTTAATAATTGTATGTGTCCAAACATAGTATAGTTGCTACATCTTGTTTAATTATTGATTTTTGTTTTTATTATTGCCATTATTTTATCATTCTTCATTTCAAATAATCTTGTTTGATTATCATCAAATGAAATTATTAAATATTGTTAATGTTAAAAAAGCTGAAACTGAATTATTGATGTTTACGAGAGATCAAAATATAAACTACTAATAAATCTACTAATAAGTTCTTATATTTTTTTATTCATTGGATTTTTCTATGGACGTCGGATTATTTTTGTTCTGATTAAGAGTGTCGAGATGTCTATGTTCCACTCTAGCTAATGAAATTTCCCATTATCTTTCTAATGTTTGGTCAAAAATAGTTGAAATATCTCCAATGTTGTAATAAAAATTTATCCATTTCCCTTACAGAGGGTCGAGATGTTATTGCCTTATATGTTACATCCTTGAAAGCGCCAAGGATCTTTCACTGTATATATCTGCATTGAAACAAATTTGCTCTTATTGTTTTAGCAACAAATGTTTTTTTTCTTTAAGTATTGGTTCAAGCTATTTTATGACATCCCTTCGATTAAGGGTGACAAATGTTATGCCTCCTCTGGATCTTCTTTGGTTACACTTCTATTGCCATCCCACCATGGTGTTATATCCTTCAAAGTTCCTTGAAACTTCTGGAGGTTCATATCCTCTGACTAGTTACAATCCTTTGACATTATCATTCGTAGATCCACATGATATGTTACAATTAAATCTACTATAAGATATGTATATCTATTTGTCCTGTCAACATATGGATAACTATTATGACCCTAGACCTGACACCAACACTAAAGACTAATATATAAACTACCATACATAGTTGAAAAAGAGATATTTTTTTCCTCTCGGTCTCTCTCTCTATATGGTATTCTCTGAGCATACTTCACTATTCATCTTCTACACCTTATCAATCATCGACTATGACTCTTCAATCAAAATCAAACCAAAAAAGATGAACTACCTACAACAACCACTGTCACTATCTCATTTTTTACATCAACAACACTAAAATACAATCTACTAACAACTCATTTTATTAGTCCAAATGTATCATTCTCGAGACTCAAGCGGTTGCATTCAATTTTATCCACTTGACAGTATCCTTCTAAACATTAAGTTACATCCTCGGCAGTCACTCGGCCAGCCACTCATACGAGACTACAATTGCTTAGAGGGGTTATTGATTAAGCAACCTAGCTAGCATTCATGAATTGAGTTTGAATTGATGGGATCACATTGTTTTTAAATGGAAAATTTTTCTCCCCCCATTCAATGATTGAACGCTTACCTTTTTGTTGCTTCTAGAGTCGTAATTCCCTTGTAATTTCGTCTGGTGGGATATATGATCTTATCGTATTAATTGGAGGCCATGTCGATTGATGCAATGATAACGCAATGCTTAATAAGTTGACAAGATACATGGGGCACCATTGCATGGGGATTGCCAACTGAAAATGAAAATCCTAAACCTAAAAAATTGTCAGAAGGGTTGCAACGATTCTAAACTATTAATTCTTTTTAACTTAGACAAATAAACTTGTAGACGCTGGTTTTGTCCAGCCCAAAATGCAACCGAATCAACACCCACCAGCTGCCCCCTCCACGCAACGGCTTCAGCCGACGTTCCAGCAACTTCCAAAGAAACATCAGCAGTCCCTCCACATTTCAGCTCCACCACAACAGTTGTCCCTCCACGTCCACATTCCAGCAGCTTCCCAACTCCAGCTCATCACAAAAAAGAGTGTAATTTTTTTTCATCTTACATGTAAAATGGGGTTATAAAAACCCCATAACAGTATGTAATCTCC